TAAGACTTTTAAGATTCTGACTAGTCTAAAGAATTATGTTATCTTCTTTTAATGTACAAATTTGAGAAATTGAAAATTACTGAATAACACATGAAGTAGGAGATCTGACATCTTATGTTAAGCCTCCTGAAAGCCTTATTTGATAGCTTATTAAATGCATCTGGTATATTTTAAAGTAAGACTAGAGAGTCATAAAAAGAGTTGGATCTGTAAAATGCTTTAGTCCAAATAAGCCTTCAGCACTGTGGTGACAGTAAGGAAAGGTAGCCAATCTTCCTGCTGGAATTTGCTGTTAGGATCTTTTATAGTTTTTGAATGAAACAAGATGCAGCACAGAGATTTCAGGAACAAATAAACAGACATAAGATAACCTATAGAAACTTTTTTTGAAATTTAGTGTTGTTTTTCATTATACTTTAGGTTCTGGGGTACATGTGCAGAACGTGCAGGTTTGTTACATAGGTATACATGTGCCATGGTGGTTTGCTGCATCCATCCCCTCATCATCTACATTGGGTATTTCTCCGAAAGTTAGCCCTCCCCAATCCCCCCACCCCTTGGTATCCCTCTCCTAGCCCCCCACCCCTCAAGAAGTCCTGGTGTGTGATGTTCCCCTCCCTGTGTCCATGTGTTCTCATCGTTCAACACCCACTTATGAGTGAGAACATGCAGTGTTTGGTTTTCTGTTCTTGTGTCAGTTTGCTGAGAATGATGGTTTCCAGCTTCATCCATGTCCCTGCAAAGGACACAAACTCATCCTTTTTTATTGCTGAATAGTATTCCATGGCATATATGTGCCACATTTTCTTTATCCAAAACCCATGGAAACTTTTAATAATTTGGTAGCCTTGTAAATGCTTTCTTCAGAAATTAACTTTGGGGACTTTGGCATTTATTTTCTCATAACAAGGGTGAATTGACTATTGAATGGTTGAAAGCACACAATGCATATTGATCTGTTCATGCATAACCGCTTCCCCCAGCAGGCACCTTGCGCCTGCAACATATTTTTAAATAGAATTACTATTCATTAAATTACAATGACCTGGAGCACTGGTCAAATAATATAAAAAACTGCCGTGACTCATTGTGGTTTGAAGCATTGCCATGGACTCTTACTGGCTTGCTTTCCCTAGTGGAAGTTGATCTGAAGGATATATGTGAATGACTGACTGCTTCAATGGCTAAAATTTAGTCAAGCAAACCCCCAAATTTTGTACCTATAACTGAAACTTAAATATGGCCAAAATTTTATATTATAATTACATTTTAAAAGAATCCTTATTAAACAATATGTATTTTTTATTCAAAATCACTTACATTTTGTGTAGCAATCTATGGGCTACTCATCTAAGAGATTACACTTTAACTTAATTAAATGTTGCAATGCTGGTGTGTATACAAACCTGTATTCTTTCTATGAAAACAGACCATGTTTTGTAATTATACTATATTTGTGAAAGCAATCTTTCACAAATCAGTGAGAATGCCTGTGCGGCTGAGGTGAGAGAATCACTTGAGGCCAGGAGTTCGAGACCAGCCTGAGCCATATAGCAAGACCCCGTCACTACAAAAAAAATTTTAAAAATTAGCCAGGTGTGTTGATGCATGCCTGTAGACCTAGCTATTCAGAAGGCTGAGGGTCACTTGAGCTCAGAAGATAGAGGCTGCAGTGAGCTATGATCTTGCCACTGTACTCCAGCCTGGGTGACAAAGCAAGATCCTGCCTCAAAAAATGAATTAAATAAATAAATCAGTCCATCAGCAGGAAGAAAGTAACTGTCTCCCTTGATTTTATTAGCTAAGGGGGATTCTTTCTGTTTTCTTTTTGTTTAAGGCAGAGAGAGAGAGAGAGAGTGTAGGAAATCACCTTAAGAATTCTCAAAAAAAAAAAAAGAATTCTCAGAGTATATAAAATGTATATGAATTAAATGATTGTAGGAAAGTAGGAAGAGGTATGATGTGGACATACTAACATTTACCCAAAAGTTACATGTTATTCATGTAGTCATTCTTGACACTTGGAAAGATTATATAAAGATTTGTTATTCTGTTCCTGGCTGTACATTATTGTGCCATGATTTAACCTACATTTCCATTTCACAGACTATCTCGTAATTTTCCTAATCTATTTACCGATGCATGGACACTTGGTAAATGTATCAAATATTTATCTGAGAAAATCAGGGCCCAATTTACAATAAAAATTTTGGGGCTACCATGTGCCTATTCAGTTGTCTTGTAACTCCACATCTACCAGCCTCTCCACTGTGGATTTATTAGTAGAATGATCATGTAATCTCACCACTTCTGACAACCTGGGGCCAAGTCACAAAAGCTCTTGGGATACAGTGTCAGGACCATAAGGTTCATCACAAGGTCTAAATTTGCTTTCCTTTGGGAATCATGGACTCTTAACTTCTGTTTTCACTTCCAGAACCATGTTTCATTCCAGGCCTTCTGTCTCTCAAACATTCCAATTATTGCTAAATGTCTTCCTTCTGGTAGAATTCTGACTTTCATATGTCCAACTAAACTATTGCAACTGTTTAGAAACTGAGACTTCAGTTAAGCCCTTAGGGCTCAGGGATTGAAGAGCTACCAGCTTAGAGTCCTTCATACCACATTAGCGACCTTTCTACCCAGGTATGGTCTCACTATCTCCACGTTGTCTCTGTATCCATACTACTTCTCTACACTCAGAATGAACCTCAGTTTCTTCTGGAGTGTAGGACCTTTTGCAACCACCGATCATGCTATGTAAAGTGGCAACTTCTCCCTCCAGTGCTTCGGTTATTCCCTGACAAGTCTCCTTGCTTAGATTTCCTCCACAGGACTTATTTGACATATTATACATTTAATTATATATTTATTTACTGTTGGTTTCCTTCCACTTGAATGTAAGCTTCTTGAGGGCAAGGACTTTAGGTTCTGCTCTTTCTCCTGTGCCCAGAACACTACCTAATGAGTGCTAAGTAAATATTAGTTCAGTGACTGACTAAATGAATAGAAGGCAGAGTTTTGAGGACTAAGAATCTTAGTCTCATCACAATCTCATGTGTGCTGAGAACAGAAACATTCATTAACAGTGAGATTGCCTCGGCTGTAATTCATGGGTCTTCAAGGAAGATATAAAAATGAGAGACCGAACTGGGTCCCTGGGATTTACAAAAATACTGACAATTATTTTAGTTTACATAGTTTCACCCTTGTAATCGTTGACCCATTCTGATAATTATCTGTGGAGACACAATAAATTATCATGGAGAGGCAGCTCCATGGGCCTGAGGTCCCCGGGGAGGGGGTCGCCAGGTACAGCTCCTCCTCCCTGAGCTGTCACCTGTGCCCCCTCCTTGGCCGTCCTCTCCTCATCCTTACAGGCTGGGTTCCAGGTATGGCGCTGATGGTGGATGTGGCCGGGCCGGCTCCCTGGGGCTTCCGTATCACAAGGGGCAGGGATTTTCACACCCTATCATGGTGACCAAGGTGGCTGAGCAGGGCAAAGCCAAGACCGCTAACCTCTGGCCTGGATACGTCATCATGGCCATCAACCAGGAAAGTGCGGAGGGAATGCTGCAGGCGGAGACCCAGAGCAAGATCCGCCAGAGCCCCTCACCCCTGCGGTGGCAGCGGGACCGGTCTCAGACTGCATCTCCAGGGCAGACCAATGGGGACAGCTCCTTGGAAGTGTTGGTGACTAGTTTCCAGGGCTCTGTGAGGACACACACTGACAGTCAGTCCTCCCTAAGGTCCTCCTACTCCAGCCCAACCTCCATTAGCCCAGGGGCCGGCAGTCCCTTCTCCCCGCCACCCGCTGGCAGCCCTCTCGCTGGAGAGGCGGCCATCAGCCACAGTTTCCAGAGCGTGGCGTGTTCCCCAGGCCTCCTTGCCGCTGACCGCCTGTCCTACTCGAGCCCCCCCTACCACCCCTGGAAGCCAACAGGCAGGCCTCGGCCGCGCTGGTGACTCAGCGGTGCTGGAGCTGCCGCCTTCCCCGGGCCCTGGCCTTTGTTCCTCCAGGCGCAGCGTGAACTTGGAAGGGGGCAGCCTCCTCCTGGACGAGGACTCGGAAGTCTTCAAGATGCTACAGGAAAATCATGAGGGAATGGGTGGCCCCCCGACAGTCCAGCTCCTTTCAGCTTTTGCAGGAAGCCCTGGAGGCTGAGGAAAGAAGTGGCATGCCAGCCTTCCTGCCCAGCTTGCTGAGCCCTCAGTCCTCCCTGCCCGCCTCCAGGGCCCTGGCCACCCTTCCAAGCTCCACACCTGTGAGAAGTGCAGCACCAGCACCGCGAACCAGGCCGTGCGCATCCAGGAGGGCTGGTACTGCCACCCCGGCTGCTGCACCTGCACCGACTGTGGGCTGAACCTGAAGATGCGTGAGCACTTCTGGGTGGGCGAGGAGCTGTACTGTGAGAAACTTGCCTGCCAGCGCTACTCTGCACCCACTACCCTCAGCTCTGGGGCCTGAGCCCACCAAGCCCTCAGCCTGCTGCACTGCTGGGCCAGGGTCGTGCTCATACAAGTTGGCATGGCAGGTGCAATGGTGGGCGGTTGCTCTTAGTGAGCTAAGTTTGGGGACCTAAGGCCCCTTTGTCTTCACTGGGTGGGACAAGGCCTGGGACCTGTCTTGGGCTTCACCCTCACCCTGCCAGGACCCTCTCCCCTGCAGGACTGGCACTGTGCTAGTCTGAGGTGGCCGCTGCCTTTGATCAACCTTTGTGTGCCAGGGTCTAAGCAGGATGGAACACAGAAGTGGGAAAGAGATGGGTGGGCCAGGGGCTAATGGTGTCACTGTGTAAAGTTTTTGACATATGAGCTCTATAGATGTATGAATATGGACAAAAAAAAAACAAGAAAATCTGAGGAATTCTGAGATATTGCTGAGGGGAAAAATGATCTTTTCTTGAAATGCAACTTGAAAACAAAATAAAATGTGGAACATAAAAAAATTATATATATATATATTTTACTTTCATAAAAGATGAAGAACATGATTTCCTGTTTATTTCCTTGGTGACTTGGTCATACAAGCAATGGCAAAACCCTCTCAGAACCCAAAGGACCAGCACACGGATGAACCAAGTGTGAGGAGAGGAGCTGTGATATTCTGGGTAAAGAGGAATTTGGCGCAGTGCTGCTAGATACCGTGGGGTTTCGATCAACCTTTTCATTCCCAAGCTGTACACACAACTCTGTTTCTTGTTACATGCCTGCTCCATGCTGAAGGAGACTTCGGGGTGCTTGTAGCTTCAGGGTGCCTGTATTACCTGTCTGTAATACAGGTAGATGGATAGCAAGAGGAGTTTAAGTGCTGGCTGCCATCACTCAGGTCTGGGTGCTCATGACCTCCCAGGCTTGCCCCACATTCCTCATTTTCCCCATCCTGAAACTGCTGGCTACCCATGAGCAAAGACTGGTTGAGAACTGCATCTGACATCTGGGAAGAACTAAGTGCTTTCCCAGCCACAAGACTTATTCCTGGCAAGTTATCCAGCTGTACATAAGCATCGTTGCTGTTCTGGATTGTGCGGTGTCTCTGGAGGGCCCGGGGCCTGTGGTGCTCCTGGACGGAGGGGCGTACTGGGTACCCGAGCCCGTTGTGACCCTGCAGCTCCACTGCTTGTTCTGGAGAGCTTCTATCCATGCAGTTCCTTATGACAGGCTCTCTGCTGGGCACCTTATTTTTACTGAATTCAGCAGTTGGCTGATGTCGTTAGGGATGTATCCCCAGTTCCTGGGTGTGACTCACAGTTCCTAGCAAAGATTTGAGGTCCCCAGGTCCACTGGTACTCAAGAGCAGAGGGCTGTCATGGCAACTTTGGTCAATGTACTTGCACTCCTACTGTCTGGAAAGCCATCCTTGCCCCCCTCACATGAGCAGTCCTCTTCCATGCTCTCTGAATGCATCACTGCCGGCTGATGAGCATACCCATGGGGCAGGGTGGCTGAGGAAGCCTGTGAGATACATTCTTGTGCCCTGATTTGTAGCAGATGCTGGGGGCTGGTGTGATGGTGGTAAGAGTCAGCATTTTGATATGATAAAGCCTGGTGTTCTGTCCTGCTCTGTCCCCCAAGGCTAGGAGCCAGACTCCCCGTATCCCCTTGGTTCATGTGCCTGAACAGTTCCTGGTATTCTTGCTGTTGCTACTGCTTCTGCCATTGTTATTGCGCCTTTTAATGAGCTGTGCAAACTCTGCTGGGGACAGCCGGATGTATGAGTGTCCGGTAAGCAAATGCCATGGAGAGAACAGTCCTTGAAGGATATGGGGTACCTGCAGGTGTCTTGTATAGTCTGGCAGCATGGGGGACAGCAGGGCTTGCTGTAGTGCTGATATGGCATAGTGTGGCAGCTGCTGATGTGCACTGGGAAGGAATCGGTCAAGTGGAGAGACTTTCAGGGCTTGGGTTGGAGATAACCCCAGTCCTGTTGAAGGGCTGTAGGTGCTGGAGGAACCCCAGGACTGGTCGGAAAACAGATGGTGGTGTAAATGTGCCTGGTCATAGTTAGCAGGGGAGAACTGATTCACATTCAAGCTGTGAGCCTCTGCACTGTCAGCACTCAGCTGCTTGGACAAGGGACGGTGCCCATAGCTGAAGGTGGCCATCAGGTTGGTACCGTGCTGCATCTGCATCTGTCTGGCACTGGGGCTGATGGAGATGCCCTGCCCACTGGATCCTGCAGCTGTGCCTGGCATGTTGCTGAGCATGTCAACAGGCTCTTGGATGGTGACCTGCTGTGACTGGGCAGGCTGCTGCATGCCCAAGCAGGTTAGTGCCACATTGGGATGAGAGGAACAGTTCTCAGGCTGCTGCCGGAAGATTGTACTGCTAGAAGGTAAGCCTTAAAACTGGGAGGAAGATGCAGCACCGTGAGGCTGGATCATGGCACTGCTCATTGAGGGAGGACGATTACTGGGCTGCCTGAAGAGATGGTTGTTGGGGTGGTTATAGGGTGGGCTTGAAGACTGAATCCTTAACCTCTGGAGCTGGTGGGTGAGGAGGGCTGGCTGATTTTCACATGCAGCCTGAAGAGGTGAAGATGGCTAAGGAGGACAAGTAGAGTCTTGAATTTGTTGCTGGAGAATTTGATGGTGCTGCTGCTGCTGGGTCTTCTTCGGGGTTCTTTCATCAATCTGCACCCTGCACATCTTCTGCAGCTGCTCAAACTCCTGCTGCAACTGTTTGATGCTGCTGCTGTTGCGCATTTTTTCCAGGTGAGCTTTGAAGGCCTGGATACTTGCAGCCCCAACTGAAAACCGGCGCACAGATGAGAAATGCTCCATAGGGAGGCGCAGAGTGTTAGAGTCCTTGTAGGTAGAGCTCTGCACAGCTTCCTGATCTGGTTCCCCATCTGAGCTCTCCTCGTCTACAGGGGTAATTGCTGGCACTGCTGGTGTCATGGTGACAAGCGGAGAGGGTCCCCATGGGTGCTTCAGCAGCTGCTGGGCATGCAGCTGGATGTTGGCTCCTCCATCCTATGCTCTCTGGCCAAGGGGGACCATTCCATTCAACAGCTGTAGCGTGGGTGGCTGTAGGAGAGACTGCCCCTTGTACTCAAGTCACCCGGTTGGTTGTAAATTTTGCATAGGCAACAGTTTGTGCATGAAGTTCATGTTAGGGGCCACCTGCAGGAATGGAGCCTGTGGGTTGACTCCAGGAAAGCCAGGTAGGAGCTTCTGCAGATCTTCCATAACTTCCATGCATGGGTCTGCCACACCCACTGTGTGCCCCCTCATGGACAAATAGCGCACCAATGCTTCAGGGGAAGTCTCTTCACCCTCATCACTGTCCAAATTCAGTGTCCCATCTGGCTCCACAATTTGGTTCTCTGCATTGATCAGCTGCACTGGGGAATGCTGATGTTCATAGCGGTATCTGCCTGCTCCACCTGGATATTGACTGGTGCTTGAAAGGCCATGGCTCGGGGCATGCTAGGAAGTGCTCCGAGACACAGGGTTTTATGTCTCTTATGTCGATCACACAGCAGGCTGTAGATTGCACTATAGTGATCATAGGCATCTGATCTTAATGACTGCAGTGTCCGCTTTTTGTCCAGTCCCATGTCCTCCATGGCCAAGAGGACGTCCTCATTCAGGGGGTCCACCCATCTTTCTTCCTTTAGTTGTTGGCATTCAGCTATTAACCTGTCAAAGTTGGGATAGGCGTCCCCTAGCTTCATCCACCTGTGCTTGCAGATCTGCTCCATGGAGAGGCACTTATTGGGGTCTAACACCAGCATATGGCGGATCAAATGCTCACATTCTGTGGACATAAAAAATGGGATGCGGAACTTTCCACTCAGCACACAGGCCCGCAGATTCTGCAGTGTGCTCTCATCAAACAGCAGGGCACCACACACAAGCACATACTGGACTACTCCAAGGCTCCAGATGTCCACTTTGGGTCCATCATATTCTTTTCCTTCAAATAGTTCAGGTGCAGCACAGCGAGGGCTGTCACACCATGTCTTCAGCAGCTGCCCAGGAGTGAAGAGGTTACCGAAACCAAAATCTGCTATTTTGATATTCAGATTGGCATCCAGAAGCAAATTTTCAGCTTTTAAATCAAGATGAACAATGTTCCGACAGTGACAAAATAGACAGCTGTGACGATCTGCTTGAATTTCCAACGTGCCTCTTTTTCTGCCATTCTACCATGGGCCACCAGGTGTTCAAATATTTCCCCTCCATTAGCATATTCTGTCACCTGATAAATCATCCATTCTGTCTCCATAACCTGGTAGAGCCTGGTGATATGGGGGTGGCAAAGCATCTTCATAATTTGAACTTCCTGGAAAATCTTCTTCAAGTTTTCTTCATCCACCTGGGTCTTATGTATGATCTTGATAGCATCCTTGGCCTTGGTGACAAGGTGCGTGGCCCGCTTGACCACCATGAAGTTGCCCTTGCCGATGGTGTGGTCGATCTCGTAGTATCTGATGCGGATGGGCATGGGTCCGCGGGAAGCCGGGGCTGGGGGACGCCGCAGGCCGTCCGCGGTGGACACGGCAGCGGGGGCGGCCGGGGTCCCCACGCAGGCGGAGGCAGCAGGTGGCCCGTGAGCCCGGTTCCCTCAGTCCTGGCCCCAGCAGCCCCGCCAGCTCCGCTCACCACCGCAGCCTCCATCTTGTTGTGCAGTGAAACCTGGGGGAGGGGGGCCCGCTCTGGGAGGGGGGCCCGCTCGGGTAGGGGGGAGGGGGCAAGGGGGGCGGGAAAGGGGGCGCCGCGGACGTCACTCGGGGAGGGACGCTGGCTGCGGCCGGCCCTCCAGCCCCAGCCCGTCGGTGGTGAGCGAGAAGCAGAAGGAAGAGTTGGAGCGGCTGCAGAAAGAGGAGTAGAAGAGGAAGAAGAGGCTGCAACTGTGTGCTCCTGGTGCGCGGCATTGCCTACCCCTTTAAGGCTAAGCAGCCCACTACATGGCTCGCCGGCAGCAGATTGGCAAACGTTGCAGACAGTCAAGGACGGATTTCAGGCTTTCCTTAGTGGGGAAACCCAGATCATGAACGCTGTGCAAAGTTACTTTGAGGTGTTCCTGAAGAGCGACCCTGTGGCCCGCATGGTGCAGAGTGGAGGCTGTTCCGCCAATGATTCCAAGGAGGTCTTCAAGAAGCACATTGAGAAGAGGGTGGGCAGCCTGCCCGAGATTGACAGCCTCAGCAAGGAGACTGTGCTGAGCTCCTGGATGGCCAACTTGGATGCCATCTACCGTGGGGAAGAGGACCCTCGGAAGTAGCAGGCCGGATGACAGCCAGCGCAGCCTCTGAGCTGATTCTGAGCAAGGATTAACTCTGTGACATGTTCCAGAACATTCTTGGGATCAAGAAGTTTGAACATTAGCTCCTGTACAATGCCTGCTAGCTGGACAATCCAGATAAGCAGTCAGCCCAGATCGGACGAGAGCTGGATGGACGTCTCCAAATGGCAGACCAAATAGTCAGGGATTGCCAATTTCCAAAGTTTGTATCCAAAGAAATGGAAAACATGTACATTGAGGAACTGAAGTCATCTGTCAACCTGCTCATGGCCAACTTGGAGAGCATGCTGGTATCCAAAGGCAGGGAGTTCAAGCTCCAGAAACTCAAACGCAGCCACAGTGCTTCCATCATCGACATGGGCGAGGAGAGTGAGACCACCTCTCCAAGTCAGACATTGTGCTGTCTTTCTCGTTGGTGGTGGTAATGGTGGAAGTCCAAAGCCTCAAATCCTTGGCTCCAATTGAATCGTATATTGAACAATGGAGGCGAAAGGAGGAGAGAAACTACAGACTGACCAGGCCGAGGCTTCTAAACCAACCTGGGGCGCCCAGGGTGACTTCTCCACAACCCATGCAAGGCCAGCTGTAAAGGTGAAGCTGTTCACAGAGAACACAGGCGTCCTGGCCTTGGAGGACAAGGAGCTCAGGCAGGTTATTCTCCATCCCACCCCGAATAGCCCCAAACAGTCAGAGTGGCACAAACTGACCAGAGTGTCCAAAAACTGCCCTGACCAAGATCTCAAAATCAAACTTGCGTCCAAATGGATACGCCTCAAAACATGAAGCATTCTGGGTATTTGCGGGCCATCAGTAAGAATGTCTGGAAGAGATGGAAAAAAAGATTTTTTGTATTGGTAAGGTCAGTCAGTACAAATTTGCCAGGTGCAGTTATCGAGAGAAGAAAGCGGAGCTTCAGGAACTTCTACAATTGGATGGCTACACTGTGGATTACACCAACCCCCCAGCCAGGTTTGGAGGGTGGCTGAGCCTTCTTCAATGCCGTCAAGGAAGGAGACATCATGATATTTGCAAGTGACGATGAACAAGACCTCATCCTGTGGGTTCAGGCTATGTATCGGGCCACGGGGCAGTCAGACAAGCCTGTGCCCCCAACCCAAGTCCAGAAACTCAATGCCAAGGGAGGAAATGTGCCTCAGTTGGATGCCCCTATCTCCCAATTTTACGCAGATAGAGCTCAAAAACATGGCATGGATGAATTTATCTCTTCCAACCCCTGTAATTGTGACCATGCATCCCTCTTTGAGATGGTACAATGCCTTACTTTGGATCACAGCCTTAATGATTCCTATTCTTACCTGGGCTGGTTCAGTCCTGGCCAGGTATTTGTGGTAGACGAGTGCTGCACCCAAAATGGAGTCTGGGGGTGTCACCGACATCTCTGCTACCTCAGAGACTTGCTTGAACAGGCAGAAAATGGTACCATGATCGACCCCACCCTTCTTTACTACAGCTTTGCCTTCTGTGCTTCCCATGTCCATGGGAGCAGTCAACAAATGCATGTATACCTTAGTGGGCTGCCACTAAATACAGACCCTGAAGGGAGCAAAACTCCCTCCCCACCTGAACCAGAGGCTAAAAAGGATACCAAAAAGAAATAAAAAAAAGAAAAGATTCCAAAACCCAGGCAAATCCAGAGCAGAAAAGGCCTGATGGAATTGGAACTGTGAGTATTGAAGAAAAGGCGTATTTTGAAGAAATCAAAGAGAGACTGCAAGTTCTGTTGGAAAATCAGATTACACATTTTAGGTATTGCTTTCCATTTTGTCGACCTGAAGGTGCTTTGAAAGCTACTCTCTCATCTTGGAAAGGGTTTTGATGAAAGATATTGTTACCCCAGTGCCACAAGAGGAGGTAAAAACAGTCATCTGTAAATGTCTGGAACAGGCTGCATTAGTCAACTATTCTTGGCTCTCAGAGTATGCCAAAATCAAAGGGAAAAAGAGAGAAATGTAAGAGCATCCCATCTTCTGCATGGCCTCCCACGTAATGGATTTAACCATTCAAAATGTAGGTCACTTAATCACTCCTGCCAAAGAGCTTGAAGATAGTCATTGATAGTCTTGCTCAACTAGTCATTGAAGTTCTTCAGCAAAATGAGGAGCACCCTGCCGAGGCCTTTGTGTAGTGGTCAGATTTAATGGTGGAGCATGTGGAGACGTTCCTGTGGTAGAGATGGATGCAGCCTTAGAGGTGCAACCCCTAGACACATGGGACAGTTTTCCACTGTTTCAGCTGCTGAATGATTTTCTCCATACTGACTATAATTTGTGCAATGGAAAATTTCCAGAAAACCTGCAAGATCTGTTTGCCCCACTTGTTGTTATATATGTGGATCTGATGGAGTCCTCAATTACACAATCCATTCACAGGGGCTTTGAGCGGGAGTCATGGGAACCAGTCAATAATGGGTCAGGCACCTCAGAAGATCTGTTCTGGAAACTTGACGCAATTCAGACCTTCATTCGGGACTTGCACTAGCCTGAAGAAGAGTTTGGAAAGCACCTGGAACAATGGCTGAAGTTGATGGCAAGTGACATGATTGCATTTGAAAAACCAGGATTGCATTTGAAGTTAAGCTGCAAAAAAACAGTCAATCAACAGATTTTTGAGTCCCACAGTCAATATGCACCATGTTTAATGTTATAGTTGATGCCAAAGCTCAATCAACAAAACCTGCAGCATGGAATGGGCCCAGAGCATCAATAGCATTCAAAAATAGATGAACTAATTGAAGAAACCGTTAAAGAAATGATAACACTCTTGGTTGCAAAGTTTGTTACTATCTTGGAAGGAGTGCTGGCAAAATTATCCAGATATGATGAAGGGACTTTGTTTTCTTCTTTTCTGTAATTTACTGTGAAGGCACCTTCCAAATATGTGGATGTACCTAAACCCGGGATGGATGTGGCTGACACCTATGTGACTTTCATCCGCCATTCTCAGGATGTCCTGTGAGATAAGATCAATGAGGAGATGTACATAGAAAGGTTATTTGATCAGTGGTACACAATGGTACAACAGTTCCATGAACATGAGCTGCACCTGGTTGACGGACCAGATGGACTTACAGCTTCACATTTATTAGTTGAAAACACTAATTAGGTTGGTAAAGAAAACCTACAGAGATTTCCGATTGCAAGGGGTCCTGGACTCCACTTTTTTTTTGAGACAGAGTTTCTCTCTTGTTACCCAGGCTGGAGTGCAATGGTGCAATCTCGGCTCACCGCAACCTCCGCCTCCTGGGTTCAGGCAATTCTCCTGCCTCAGCCTCCTGAGTAGCTGGGATTACAGGCATGCACCACCATGCCCAGCTATTTTTTTGAGACGGGGTTTCACCATGTTGACCAGGATGGTCTCAATCTCTTGACCTCGTGATCCACCCGCCTCGGCCTCCCAAAGTGCTGGGATTACAAGCTTGAGACACCGCACCCAGCCCCTGGACTCCACTTTAAACAGCAAGACCTATGAAATGATCCAGGACCATCTCACTGTGGAGGAAGCCACAGCATCAGTGATCGAAGGTGGGGGACTGCAGGGGATCAGCATGAAGGACAGCGATGAGGAAGACGAAGGAGACGATCAGATCATTTGGTCCTAGAGTCCTCTGCGACAGTCCTGTAATTAGTTCATATCCTTAGTCTGTTAGTGAAACCCATTAGGGAATTTTCTGTCAAATACCATGCCCATGAGATGTTTATCAATACAATGGTCCTTTTAGCTATGTGGTACCAAGATTAGCAAATGAGCTTCGTATCCACTGATTTCCTGATTTCCATGTCTATATGTTTACAAGCAATATGGAGCACCATTCTTTAAATGCTGTTTATGGAGAATACATAGTCTAGCCGCTAGGCGTGTCCCTGTTATCAGCAAAGATCAATGATGCTTCATTCATGTAGTGTGTGAGCATTGATGGTAAATGGATGTGAGGGTGAGTACACCAAGTACATTCACTTCTTTGTTCCACATATGTGGATGCCAGTTAATTAAATGAATATATAAATTAATTAAAACACACACATACACACAAAATGGATGTTGCTTGTCTCCCAGAGAAAGACAAAAGAGTGGTAGAAGATGAAAATGAGTTTCCAAAAGTAGAATGTAGTCCTTTGGAGAGCAATGATAACTAATATTGATAGGTTAAGAGTCTATGTAACAGCTTTGCCTTATTACTGGTGCTGAACTAAGTTATTCACTTCTGATGCTCAAAAATGTACCTATTGTTTGGACATAAAATATTAACGGGTTGTGACCTTGCTAATGTAATGCTTAGAAAACTTAACAGTTCTTTAACCATAAATCCCAGGAAAAACTAGCTTCTAGTGATAGGTCCCATGCAGACTTCTGG